TATCCGAATATTATGATACATGCTCTATAAATAAACGAATACATAAACAGCTTCCTCATTAATTAACTGGTTTGTGGGAACGTCATCGCATGCCTGCACGCCAGGATTGGGAGGTGCGACCGTACAAACAGTGACCAATCATTAACCTCTGTTTGCTTAACCTAATCCGCCATCCTGATCACGACTAAGCTTCCTGCGTGTACATTTATCCGCAATACTCGAACTGAATAAACGTGCTCCGTGCTACACGTCTGTTTCCTTTCATTAGCTGGGCTATAGCTTAGCTGGTTCTGGGAGTCTAGCTGGATGTTGGAGAATTTGCCATAGAGATTTCTGAGTCAGTCAGGCTTTAATAGGTAGCAATCCGCTACAGGTTAGTCCGTAGAGGACGCCGCGATCAAGTGAACACTCAAGAAATCGGCAAATGCAGAAGAATTGCACATGAATTCAAAAGTGAATTAAACTTCAACAGTTTCCATTCGTTGCTTCTATTTATTGCCCCTTCCTATTCCATATAAGTTGCTATAACGTTCACTATGTTGACATGACTCCACAAGATAAGATAGTAAGAAAGGCATTTGTTTTAAAGTGAAAAATAAATAAATTTAAAAGTGATTGCTGGCTCAAACAGTCCTGTACTTATTTTCCAGATAAACCTACGCTTGAGAGAAGTCCTACACGATCATTTTTGCAAATTTGGGGCAAAAACAATTTGCACATGCTCAGAGTTGTATCCTCATAACCCCAAAGAAATGCATCAACACTCTGCTTGGTGAAGATTTTGGGACTTGTAAAAAACTTCATCATCTCTATTGTGTCTGCACTTGGACCCCGACCTGCATTATTGGCAGCTGATATGGCCTTTTAATTTTGTCATTTATAAAAGTAAAAAATAGTGTTTATTTCATGAAGTGATTATTTTTATAGAAATTATTAACTCATTTTAGTAATCTTACCAAAATTGGAAGATTAGCTGATATAATTTTGTCAGATTTCGGATCCCCTGAGGAGAGCTTGGGATCAAACATGTAGATGCTGCGCTTAAAGTAGGAAATGGCCGGGGAGCCGTCCACACTTGTCCAGGAGATATTTAATTTTTCGTCTTCCTTCCTATTTGCAATGCGTTAATTTTTGACTGAGTTTAATTTAAAGACACGTCCAATAGGAAACGAAGTAATCAAATTACCAGTAAACATATGGGCCAATAACTGTAAGATTCGGTCTTCCGCCGGCCAACACCTGATTGGAGTTTGTTAGATTGTAGAGATATACGGCAAATTTGCTGGGAGAGCTTTTCGCTTTCCACCTTTTGAATGCCTCCGATCCATTATACAGTTTAATTGACTATATACGAAAAGTTAATTCTAAACACTTGTTGACAAAATCAACTTTCAATACATTCTAAAATGAATGCTGCTATGTGCCATTTGTATGGTGAAGTTAGATGTGTCTACTTTGGACATCACTTATTACATGACATTGGCTGATATAAAACACAAATACTTTGCCAAAATAAGTATTGTATAAATAATCCTCTCATTTCTGACTTGAATGTCAGGTTCTTTTATTTTCATTATTTCGAACAAAAATATTTTTTCTACGGTTGCAAGTAGTGTTGACTATAAATCGTCATACATCCTTTGTTGACACTCTATGGTCTCTCTGAATTGTAATTTCTTCAGATTGTACTTGTAACTAGTGCAATTGCTTTCGAAATTCAAGTTTTGTTCATCAACAAAGTACTTTTCTTATCCGACCTATTCTTCAATAAGTGATCTATCGAGTTAAAGTAGCAAATCTAAATTTAAACTTAATAATAGTCACCGTTTTTAAATAGACTGTTTTTTATTTCGTTTTTTGGTGAATTTCACTGTATTTTATAATTATAATTTAGTAACAATATGCCCACTCTTTGGCTTTTAGAGAAATTGGTTATTCGTGTATTTTGTGGTATACAATGAAAATATCTGGCAATTTTCCCATAAAATAACAAAATCAATCAAAACCTGTAATTTTGAGAAACAAAAAGTTTTTAAATGCATGGATGCATACGACGATGCATCAGTGGAAGATGGCAAACCATGTTAGTTATGATGCTAAGAAATATGATTTCAGATCTATATTTAATATTAGGTATTTCACTTACCGAAATTCAGATTTCATAATTAATTTCATAGATAGCAATGAAGTTATTATTTATAATGCCTCGTTTCCAGTTGATAGGCTAGGTATATTTTTATTTTTCCGTCAAAATTAAAAAATGCTTGAAGAATAAGCGTTTACTCATAACAAATAACGCCAAGAGTAGGATTTAGACCCTTTAAGACAGACGAGCCATTAAGGTCTCCCTAAGAGGGTGAGTAAGTGACCAAAATGGCCTAATTTTACCTAACTCTTATAACCCACAAATTGTCCCACCCACGGGCCAATCTGTAAAAGAGCAACTTGAATAGGAAGAAAATGCCAAAGGGTAGTTCACTACAGGTCGTCCAATAATTAAGAAATGCAGGACCCAGCATGTGCAGATTAAAAAGGTTTTCGTGAAAGGGGTGGTGATTTAGTAACGTTATATAAGTCTTATGAATGAAAGAACCGAATAGATAGACAGGGCATTTGCAAAGCATTTGACTAATGATTACATTATCCTTGTGAGGGAAAAAGGGAAAGCGTAAAACGGGACAAAGTAAACCCTAAGTTGGGTAAAACTAGGTTGATTTGAATCATGTGAACTATAAAACTTTGATGGTATCACTATATAGTTTGAAAGTAAAAGTTGAAGTTTCGGTCTTATAAAATTAAAAAAGAACTTCAATTTTACCCTTAAAGCCTTCCTATCTGAGATTGTACAGTACTTCCACTTAAAGCTTCTACAAGAAATTATGCACTTAGATGAGGAGAAAGGTGTGTTATGTGCTGTTTTCAACAGTTGAAATTGGTATTTTTAGCTTTCAATCTATTGTTCCCTGTTTCAAAGTAGATATATTTGGTTTCCTGGTTAAAATGTCTCATCTCGAACACAGGAAAGTAGAATTGATAAAAGGTGGAAATGAATGAATCACAAAATACTTTTTGAACATATACTTCATCATTTGTCCTACATCATATAAAGAGTCATGCATTAATTCCACGCTTTGATCAAGTTTTTTAAGGGGCGAAAAATATCGAATGCATTTTAAATGTTTTAGTTTAAAGAAAAAGATAAGGAACCGAATGTAAATGCCTACCTCTGAGATTTTTGCATCCACGATACTTTCGAAAAGAAGAAACATCACAAGACTAGAGAAGGCAATCAATATGAAAAATACCGCAGCGATTGAAATGAGTATAAATCTTTTTCTCCAATCCATCTTTTTCTGAAACAATAAAGAGGAAGTTTCACCCCTGATGACAAGTTCAAGGTAGTGAGTTTACAAGAAGAGATCGTTTTGTCTATTGTATGCGTATGTGCGTATTGTGCGTATGTGTAGGTGCTTTAGTGCTAACCTAAACAACCTTCACCCATGACTTACCGTCCTTTCAAAAAGTATTCAGCGACTGAATTTTTAATAATATAAAATGATCTCATGTAAATTAGTTCAATTTATATATTTGAGTATGGTAAAATTGGGGGAATAATTTAATTAAAAAGTAACTGAGGGTAACCAAATAATAAATCACTTTATTTACAAAAGAAAGTATGCATTATGCCAACTGAAGTCTCGTCATAAACTTGACCTGAACGTGGTAGATAATTGCATAGCCCTTTTTATCAGTTTATGCTTGTGGGGAGCAAAACACAGGCTTGGCTGACCAAGGAATGACATGCACGTCAAACGTTCTGCAAGATGCGGCCATGTGTGCAGAGGCCTTCTCAGTTGATCCGCGATTAATGTTCATTCAAGTTGTCTTAAATGTAACCATTTACTAATCACGTTTAGCGTGAACATAAATGCCAGCAAACGCTATGTACTAAATATGTTCTGCTTCCTCGATATTATTGAGTAAGCAAGTGTATTCAAGAGTCTATTGTCAATTGTCTAATTGTTTGGATTTGGTCAAGGCTTATGCATCCTTAAATTTTGCACTAAAATTCAATTACCTTCGAATGGCTAATAGCCATTAATACAATATATAACGTTATAATTGTTCAAAGTCTTTAATGAAGATTCTAGAGAAAAATATCCTAAATTTCATACGATTGAAGTTTCATGGATGAGATTTTTCGCAAAATCACGTTTTGTCTACCAGAGTCAAGGAACCCCTGATTATTCAAACACGAGAAGATAGTGAGATTGGGTCTCACGAAATGCAAACGAGCGGCTGAATTTCCCGTGGTTTCAATAAGTTCTTACAAATTGCAATTACATTTTTCTCAACCATTGACTTGAAACAGTACTAATTTGAAAAAGGATACTCTTTCGCTGAATTTATTGTAGATGAGTATAGAACACTTTGAATATTCTCTAATGAGCGAATCACTGAGTGAGGATCTTACATTTTTTCATTAACTTAAACCCGTGGTCTTTATTTGCTGGGTATACAAAAATGATATTTATATAAGAATAATACTAACTCTGTTTAAAATTATTTCCAAAAAGTTGAAATTTGATTGCAAAATCGTCGATTCATAGCTTATTTGGTGACGGTAGTACATCTCGTAATAAAATATGTCCTTCATTCGCATAAACAATAATTTAAATATAGCCTTATTTCTTTTACCATTAGGGATTAAAAACGTCTATTGAGTCATCACGTTAGTCCAAGTAATCAGATCGATTAACTTCTGTCAAGCTTAAAGATTTTATCAAGTAATAGTAAAATAATAATTTACTTTATTGGATTTCTGAAATAAGTTGTGCTAACATAACTAAAATAAGTACAAACTTGATTCAAATTGGTTTCCGATAAATTCAATGTGGGGCAAGTGAGGTTGAACGAGGAACACTTAAATATATTGAAATTATTAAGCTTCATGGAAAACATAAAAGTTCATCCTCTAGGTTACGTCAATTGATTAAAATGCTCGAAATATTACGTACGCGAACTCAAGAGATATTTCATGGCCAAATTATGAAATTTAAAATGTGGAATACTGGGGCACCAAAAGCGAATGAAGAACCCACGTCTAGTAAGACTTATTTTAATTGATACTTTTCGATTTATCCCCTCCCCATTTCACCCTATGTTTTATTGATTTGTCATTTGCCTTACTCAGAAACTTTGGTGTGAGTAAAACACAAAACATTTCGGTTAATCATGGTTAATAATATGAACAATTAGGATAGTATTAACAAACCTGTGAATCCGAGCAGACGCTGAGTGTGATCTTATTCGGAGGGCTCGCACAGTTAATTAATGAATGAATTGCTCTGGGTTCCCAATTAAAAGAATTTCACCTATGGTAAATTGCACTCATTCGCTGTGCCATATCTTTGGAGCTTCTCTTGCGCAGTTTTGCTAACCTCTCACATCGTACCATTCTCAGCATAAATATAAAATTTGCCTTCTAAACACCGAGTAATATGCCACTTATCGCTAGTTTTAGATTTTTTGAGTAAGCTGGAATACATAAAGGTCAAAAAAATTTATAGGTCTTAAAAGTGGGTTAATGAAAAATGATTCATTAGTTCTTAATTCATTCTACATAATAAATTTAGGATGATCTGATGAGATACTGTAAATAAGCTGATTCATTCGCTTTTGTTAAATAAATTCCAAAGCCCCTTTTTAGTGAAATGGGGTATCGTTTAATGATCTTTCATGGTTGCTCAAGGAAAAGAAGTGCTGCCACAACTAGACGACAGATCATCTCTTGAGCTATTTGAGAATATTTAATTTCCTAAGGGAACACTTATACTACCGTTTTAAGATGATGCGTCTGAACTTCTTCGATCATGGAATCAATTCTGCCGGCCCATAGCAATATTAAAATCCAATTTCACACCATTCCAGTTAATGTTGGTCTTTTAAACTGATTTCTAGAATACTCGTATTAATTTTTGTTTTCCATTTATATTATTTATGTAATCAACAGCTTAGGCAAATGGGCCTATGTCGTCGTTATTTCCCGTATTCATTAGCTTAAATTTTGTTATTTATGCCTCCATTAACTCTTAACCGACATGATAAAATTATGTATTTGGGATATCGAATGTGCAAATATTTAATAACTTAGAACAATTTTGAGATTAGAATTCCTGGGATGAACGATAGAATGTGCTTTTGATGGAGGTTCATAATTTATTTAAGTCATCTTTAGCATAATATTTAAATTTTTTAGAAACTCATAAAACCTGTGAAAATTCGTAAGTCAGACTCTTGAGTCCTACAGGAAGCGAACGTTCTCTGGGGGAATTGTAATATCCAGACGGCCGAAAAATTTCTACGGGGATTTAAATTAGCACAAGAAAAATAGGATATGAAACGGCGTTATTAAGAAACAACCAGGATGTACGTATGTCTATATCTTCAATTACATATTTTGGCCATTCGGTGAATGATAAAAGTCTAATTGACGATGCTACAAAGCTTAATATCATGAAGGCCTAGAGAAAACTGGTGATACTCAGTAAGTTCTAAGATCAAAAATACATCAATTAAAATTCGATCAAAACATCATGAAGCATTTATCTAGCTTGTTTTTACGGCTTGTCTTTTGTTGTCTGTCTCAAAGCGAATGATATAATTTCAAAGGCAGTTCAGAACACATATTGAGCGTTAGTGGTAGGCCTGTATCACTGACTATAAATAATTGCTAAAGCAATGTCAAGAATCTCGATCACACATTTATTAAAAGCTAGGCTTAACTGATGTGCAAGCTTGAACATAAATGCTGTAAAATTGTCAAATTGTAATTGAAATCATAGCTACCGAAATTGGCAAATTCTAAAGATACTCAATATCTCAATATTGATATGAAGTAAGTATTGGGTGAGAATAAGTATATGCATAAGTTGCAGAATCCTAATAAGGGAAAAAACACTAACCACAATTAAACGTTGCAGGAAAAAGGGTAAAGTCTACATGGATATTGAGTAACATCAATCGAGACCATTCTGAAAGAGGGTGTTTATAAAACCATGTCACTAGTACTATCAAGAAGAGTAACAGTTGAAGATATAATAAGAGGAAATAAAGTGTGAATAGCCTGATGTGTTAAGAGTCTAGAGTCGCTCATATCTCATCAACTAAAAATGAATATTTCCATCCCTGACCTTTTTTATTTAGTTATCATTTGTTATTTCCCCTCTCTACGAATTAAAAGAATAAGGTTAGTTCAGAATTCATTATTAGAAGATGTTAATGTATATCTATACGCAAGCATCTAAGTTGGGGTGTGTGGGACACGTCATCGCATGTCTGCACACCGGGATTGGGAGGTGCGACCGTACAAACAGTGACCAATCAGTAGCCTCTGTTTGTTTAACCTAATCCGCCAAGCTGATCATGACTAAGCTCCCTACGTGCACACTTTACCCACAAGATACTAACTGAACAAACGTTCTCCATTCTACACGTCTGTTTCCTTTCATAGCTGGACTATAGCTTAGCTAGTTCTGGGAGTCTAGCTAGTTGTAGGAGAATCTGTCGCAGAGATTTCTGAGTCAGTCAGGCTTCACTAGTGTGGCAATCCGCTATAGGTGTGATCCGGAAGGTGCCATTGAAATCGGTTGATAAGCTCACTTAATTTCAAATATGTACATGAAAAATAAACAAAAGAATGTGAAAACTTCATTCTTATTATCAATATCTATTAGTTCGAGACTGTATCTAATAATATTTTAAATACATTTAAAGGGGCTTTCATGAAGATACATTGAAAATTTTTTTAACCAAAAGCAGCTGTAGAGCTAAAAGGGTTTAAATGCATGTATAATAATTCCCTTGAGTTAACTATGTAAAACTGATGAATGACTGAAAAACTTCACCCCACTGAACTAAGAGGTATGGGATAAACGTTTCTAACCATTCGTAAATGATCATACACGTACCTGCCATCAAATGCATAAGCGACGAGGAGATGGAATGGTCATTTGATTTGGAGATAATCACAACTTATCCCACTAGCATTTTTGTAAGCAATCTACGCCGAAAGATGAATTCTTTGCCTATGCAACAAAGCAATTCATATGTTTCTACTGCAATTATACTGGGGTGGGGGCGAAGTCGACGTGGTGCCCATGTGCCCAACCTATCAATTTATTCATGCGCTTCAAGTATAGTTTTCACTTCACGACGGATATGTGAACTACTGCTATAGTTCGTCCTCAATTAACGGAGAATTTGATTGAATCAGAGATTGCGATATGTCCTCGTCAATGTTTGTGAATCATCCTGATTTGAACGCAGCATTTTAATTCTTACTAGTCGGTCTAAAACTTTTAAACCAAAGCACTTAGCTAAAAATTCAAGTAGGGGATTTAATAGATGTGATGGCGTTCAAGCTCTGATCAAAGAAAAGCAGCAAATTCTGTCTTATTTGGGATTGAGCATTTGTGACCTTAACAATAAATTGAAATCCGCTGTCATAAATTATGTTGAACAAAGTGTCAACGGGGTAAACCGGATTCAAAAAACCGTTTGTGAAATGTGCGGACATTAACATTAAACACATTAAAATATTGGCATAACCATGTAGTCAGATACAGAAAAACGTAGTGAACGAATTCGTTTCTACCTTTGCTATTTATTTCTTGTTCTGTCATCATAGACGCGCTCATATTGATCATTCAATCTTTGATGAATTAATATCAAAATTCTCATATTTATCGAAATCAAAGCATGCAAATGTATAACAAAATCCCATTTCAAAAATACCTCGAATACAGATAGATCAATACACTAAGGAGATCGAAGTAACTCCAGTTTAAGGGAGTGTGCAGTCGATCATAGCCTACCAATTCTACTTTGTATAAAAGCGTAGAGTATGGAAAAAGCGCAAATGAGCATAATCTTTAAGTTTGTGATCATTGTAATTTCATTAAATCGAATTTTATAAATTATATGAAAGTTCATTAAAGTAGTCAAACTGAAAAAAATGAATTTGGTAAATGTTAAATCAGTATATTGACGGTTAAGATCGAAATTACCCTCGATCCAAATTAAGTATATGGATGCTTTTTTGTTAAACTTTTCAAGTTGACTGAGGAACAATTTCCACCCGTACATAAGGAATTTATTTAAAATTATCAATGGTCTTTTCAGCAAATAAAATGCAAAATATGTGATTAATGAAAATGTACGCTCAAAAAAGTTATTACACATGATTCGTTCAATAATCATTTCAAATATGATACAAATACCCAGAAAAACTTTAATTAGCAAATTATCCAAAAATATCTTATAAATAATGTTTAAATGGAAAAATATTAAGTTTTGAATTGAAAATTATTTACTAATTGCAGCAAAACATTGCTTTAACCCGCTAAGTTAATTATGGCCTTTATATGAACAGAGCTTAGAGATTTAAAATTAGGAATTGAATGAAAATTTGTTCCTCTATATTTTGTTCATGAGTATTCGTTATCACAGAACTTAATTAATTGTTGTCTAACTGCATTACTTACTTTGGCGCCACGATGGAGATGAGCGTACGTTGCGCGTTTGAGGAAAACTTGTCTCTTTTAAATTAAATGTCTTTCTATTAATTGTTCCATTAGCTCAAATGCTTATAATATTTTTTGCGATTTCTAATTAGTTATTTAAATTTAGACGCCCATATCGGAAATGTATAGATACGTACCTCCCATCAATCCTTCCCTGTATCCCACACTAGGTATGCTTTTGACTGTCATCGGCGTATTCTTCATGACGTGGTTTTTCGTCTATGAAATAACTGGAACCAAATACGTTCGTGAATTATTTAAGGAATTGTTATTCTCGACTTTTGCCTCCGTCTTCATGGGTGCTGGTATTCTCTTTGTCGCCCTCTGGGTTGGCATTTATGTATAAATTTTCATTATTTTCGTATGTCACTTTATTCGAAATCGTAATGCTATAAAGTGAGTAAATAAATATTTCTCGATAATTATTCTATTGTAAATATCAAGTGGTAACTTCGTAGACGCGAGCCGAGTTAGTGTTTTATGGAAAGGTTTTCACTTATGTTGCTACTTCTTCAATCCGTTCCTGGTAGTTTTATTAACCATTCGGGTAAGCAGTTTTTCATAGATTCGCCTAACGGGATTTTTAGGCTGTTGTACCCTACGCTTTGATGTGAGGTGTTATTGGGTTTCTTCGTATTCATGGTTTGAAATTTCGAATGATGAATTTGTTACATTAGCCTTTGGATATGGATTATTGGTTAGCTTTAGTATTGATAAATTAGTCAGCCAATCAATTCTTAGAGCCCCTTTGTTCATGGGAGAACTTTCTTGAAGTATTTCGGCTCTGAATAGGTCGCTTAAAATGAAACGGTTACTGACGCAACTGGGTTGAGGATTCAATATTCTCACTTCAGGAGCTTTCGCATATAATCTATCTGAAGCTTAATTGTTTCTTATAATTGGCGCGTATTTTAATCTTTTTGTCTTGGAAGCAGTCTAGACTGAGGCGTCCCAACACTTTATTTTGAATGTACTTCTAGCTTTTGTGTACCATTATTGTGCATAATGTTTACCTGTACTGGTAGAACAGCTTAATGTAGCGCTGACCTCAGTTAAGGTATATTTATAATTCGGCTAGGCTATGTTAACAGTAAATCATTGTTTTACATGAGTGAGAAAATTAAGAGTTTGACTTAGCAATCGGCAAGACAAGAGGGTGGAATGGGAAGAGGGTAAAGTTGAGTAGGGACCACCCCGACTAGGATAGGTAGGTGGAGTTAATTTGTGCGGTTTTAAGAAGAGTAAGATAAAGGAAATCACTGATTTACAGTTAAGCACGGGATCATAGATGCCAAAGCGGGTTCATAAGTCCACGAGTGCAGAGGCTTTGAGTTGCTTTAGTTACTTCCCTATACTTGGACGCAATTTTATAAACTCGTGAAGAAAACCACTAGAGGCATATGGATATCGATTTTTTATTAATTATACTGTTGATAGGCCGTTTTTCTTATCAAGTAGAATATTTTCATGCCTTTCCTTGGGTCCATTCGTGCTTGTATTACTTAGAAAAGTAAAAAATTCCATGATTTCGTTCATTAAACTGACGGTGACCTCTGTGGTCGTAAAACCACGCAAGAAGTCAGTTGAAACTACGTTGGGTATCCCTCACAACATTAATCAACTCCTTGTGAGTTGACAAAATAAAACTGTCCGTATACCAGAAGGCCAAGAGTTGAGTCAACATTTCTGAATAATAATTATAGCTCTTCTAAAAGAAATATTTGTATCAGAAAGGTACGTAATTAAATTGAAGTCCTTTGGCTTTAGAAACCAAAATAAAAGGCTTGTGTGAACTTACTAAAGGTTCCAATTTGGTTGCGTGGCCATGGTGAACCGAAAATTTTTGACAAATATTTTGACTTAGTGGTAATTAAGTCAAATATATATCTTTACGGGTATAAAAGCGCATATTCTATTTCAAGGCAGTGATATCCTGACTAAGTGAAAGGGTCGGAAACATAACGTATGAATATGCGAATTGAGGCGTTCATTACTAACTTTGTATTTAATTCACTACATTTAAGAACACCACATTGCAACAGAGACTATGATAGAATTAAAATGGTAAGCACGAGATAAGTCATTACATAAGTTGGACAATTGAGTCCAGTGGTCTTTATAGTATGCATGTGAATATGGAACTTAATTGCTAGATATCCCATATGTACTTGCTAAAATCAAATAAACATGAGCACATAGAACCTTCGAACTGCATTAATTCTACCTAAATAAAAGGGTATTGCTGGAAATTATCAACACGTAAAAGAACAAAAGAGACTTAATTTGTGCATAAGTACATCGGAGAATTATTTCTAGCTATGTCAATTAGTAAGGTGTATTACCAAAAAATAGAGAAATATTATAAAGAATGTAATTTTGCTAAAATAAACATGAAACAATGAAAAATTTATAGAATATTTGCAAAATAAAATCTCCCTTAATAGACATAGAATCTCGATACATAAGTAATGTCATTCATTCAAATTATTTGTAAAAGAAATCACTGATGTTAACATGAATTAGTGAAAAGTGAAAAATGGACCTACTTATCGTGATCAAATAATGAAAAATATGATCATAATAAAGGGCAAAACTAAGTGATTTTCACATAACTTTTGAATTGAATAATTTATAAAATGCTTGAATTTATTTACCGAAAAACGAGTACGGATATTTTAGTTTGCAATATAAATTGACAGACTTAAGTTTTATAATTTAATAAGTAATAATCACATCCAGCAATAATAAGATGAAAAATTATTGCTTGCACAACAGGTGATGATAAATGAAACTGATAACACAGTAGATTATGGAATTTATTTTGTTTTCATAAATGGAATTTTTCATTTCTTCTTTGTTTTACTTGGTCTACTTACTTTATGAGACTAACGCGATCAGTTTTTTTTACATTGGCCATTGGTCTTTGTATGGGTTATAGGTAGATTTGTTTTTTCCTTCTTGGAATATATGTTTATTCTCATTGGTAATCTTTAATAAGTATTTGCTTAAAATTTAATTTTCGCCGGAAGTATATGTAAATTTCATAATCCACCTTTTCTAATTTTGACTTGTTAGATTTAAATGCAACAGCCATCCTCACAACAGGTGCAAATGGCTCTTCCAAATGGGCCCTCCACGCCTTTGAATGGTCAGGAAGCTACAAATCCTATGATAACTGGCCCCCCACTTCTGCATCAGCAACAGCAGAGTTTTCCTCCTCCACCTCTTGCACCTAGTGGCTATGTAAATCCATCAATCCCTTCTCAAGATTCAAGTACTGTCCATCATCAACCCCCACTTTCGTCACAAATGCAGTGTAATGCTCCTCCGAATGTCATTGTCGGACGGCAACCCCTCCCTGGACAAGTCTACGAAAGCGTACAGCCTCCCATCTATCCGCCTCACCCCGGTCCTAGTTATGGTTCAAATCCGGGTGGGGTTTTTCCTCCTCCAAACGCCTCAATATTGGGTCCTGTGGTTGGTCCATCGGGGCTACAACAGTCTTCTGCATTTGTTAAGGGCCAGTTGGGTCAATTGCGTGCTCAGATTAGTGTCTATAAACTTCTTTCTAAGTCTCAATCTGTTCCTGAAAATATTCTATCAGTGGCTGAAGGGCGAGGATCTGCAGTTCCCGTTTTTCATAATTTCCCACCGAGAGTTCCCGTACCTGTTTCGGGTCATTCACAAATTCTCCAGGATGCTACTCAACAACACCAGCAAAACCGACCACCGTTACCGGTACGTTGGGGTCATGGCGGCTACGCAGGTCCTCCTCCAAATGCTGCTTTTATGGCTGGTTTACAAGGTTCTCAGATCGGCCGCAGTCGCATAGGTTCTATCCAACGCCCTCAAGGTCTTGATCCAGTAGAACTGCTAAAGGAACGTGAACAACGCATCCAGTCTCGTATTGGTCAAAGAATTAAACAACTCTCTAGCCTTGGAGTTTTCTCTACGCCACAGCAAAGAATTAGTCTAGAGGTAGAATTACGTTCTCTGCGTCTACTTAATTTTCAACGTCAGTTGAGGCAGGATATGGTCGCATCAATGCGTCGTGATACAAGTCTCGAAACTGCCCTCAATATTAAAGCCTATCGTCGACCAAAGAAGCAGAGTCTCCGCGAAGCACGTTATAACGAGAAACTAGAACGTCAGCTGAAACATGAACAGGAGAAAAGGCGTCGTCAGAAACACCAAGAATTCCTTAACGCAGTACTAAGCCATGGTCGTGAGTTTCGTGAATACCATCGAAACTGCAATGTTCGTATGTCAAAAATCAATAAGGCTATTCTCACTGCCGAGCGTGACAGACGCCGTGTTCAGCAACGTATTGATAGAGAACGTATGCGTCGTTTGATGGAGGAAGATGATGCAGGCTACCGTACTCTGATTGATGAAAAGAAGAACAAGCGCCTGCATTACCTTCTTACTCAAACGGATCAGTTTATTGATAACTTAGCTAAATTGGTTAAGGATCACAAAAAAGAGCAGAACAAATTGCGAATTAAGGATATTAGAGAGAGATGCAGACAAGCTCAAGAGCGTTGTCTCTTAAATGCAGTAAATAAATATCATGCAATCGCCAAGAATCTTATTCTCGAAGGTGTGGCTCCTCCGGTCTGGATGAATACTCTTCCTCCTCCTGGTATTTTCCCCGATGATTTAGTGCAGGCGAGTCGAGACTTGGCTGCTGGAAAAGCACCAATGTTGAACACAATTCCTTGGCCGGATATCAGGCTGCCAGTTTGTAATTCCAGTACGAAGGAGTTTTTGGAAGGCGAATCTGCGCCTTTTGCAAATGATGCTCATAATTGGTTACAAGAGCATGTTGGCTGGGAGGTAGGAATCGTTACGTTTTTTTCTTAATTGTTGGTTCGTTTTGACTATTTATCTCAATGCTTCCTAGATTGCGCCAACAGACGAGAATGGAGTAGTGTTGGTTGATCTCATTGAAGAGGATGAAGACGCCTCTTCGAAGAAAAAGAGTTCTGGCGCTGCAGAAGACGAGGACGATGCGGTTATTGACACAGTTCGGGGTAATGAGGATGATGAATACAAATCGGGCGGTAGCCAATCCTATTACGCTCTAGCGCACGCCATTCGCGAACAGGTGAAGGAACAAGCCTCTATTCTAGTCAATGGCAAACTCAAGGAATATCAGATGCGTGGTCTCGAATGGCTGGTCTCACTCTACAACAATAACCTCAATGGTATTCTTGCTGATGAGATGGGCTTGGGTAAAACAATACAGACTATCGGTCTCATTACTTATCTCATGGAGAAAAAACGAGTCAACGGACCTTACCTCATTATCGTTCCTCTTTCGTAAGTTATTGAGAAATCGCAGTTAGCTTTTTTCATTTTTAATTGGGATATTAGAAGGGTTATTGTGAGAACTTTTTAACAACAATCTTATTTGTTGACTTACTCTTTTTTTGGTATTTTTTAAATTATCCACTTTCTTCTTCATAGGGTCATGGCTAACTGGGCAATGGAGTTTGAAAAGTGGGCTCCGAGTGTGAAGAAAATTCTTTACAAAGGTTCTCCACAATGTCGTCGTGCGTTACAGAATCAAATTAAAGCGGCAAAATTCAACGTCCTTCTTACTACTTATGAATACATTATCAAGGACAAATCTGCACTTTCGAAAGTCAACTGGCGATATATGATTATTGATGAGGGTCACCGTATGAAAAACCATCACTGCAAATTAACTCAAATCCTCAACCATCACTACAATGCGCCCTACAGACTTCTTCTAACTGGCACACCCCTTCAAAATAAGCTTCCGGAGTTATGGGCTCTACTCAATTTCTTGTTACCAAAGATCTTCGACAGTTGTAACACTTTTGAGCAGTGGTTTAATGCACCATTTGCTGCTACTGGTGAGAAGGTAAGCGCCTTAATAGACTCATATATTTTTCTATTTTCGATTGAATTTGGTTTAACTTAATAATTCTTCCTCTGATTAGGTGGAATTAAATCATGAAGAAACTCTCCTCATTATTCGTAGATTACACAAAGTGCTTCGTCCTTTCCTTCTGCGTCGTTTAAAGAAGGAAGTGGAATCACAACTACCAGAAAAAGTTGAATATGTTATTCGTTGTGAGATGTCTGCTTTACAACGTGTTTTATACTCATATATGCAGTCGAAAGGTGTTATTCTTACTGACGGATCAGAGCGAGATAAAAAGGTTGGTGAAACATCTTTGTCTCCTAAAAAGGCCTTTCTGTCGTTAAGTAAGTGTGATTTTTTCTCTCGTAATAGGGTAAGGGAGGTACTCGCACACTGATGAATACCATTATGCAACTGCGTAAAATTTGCAACCATCCATTCATGTTCAGTCACATTGAAGCAGCAATCGCAGAGTTTCAAAATCCCCCACCTCCTGGTCAACCACCACCGACGCAAGTGGAGGGCAAGCTACTTTTCCGATCTTCGGGAAAGTTTGAGTTGCTTGATCGTATTCTGCCAAAATTAAGAGCTACTGGACATCGTGTGCTTATATTTTGTCAAATGACCAGTCTAATGACTATAATGCAGGACTATTTTGACTACAGAGGTTTTCGATATCTTCGTTTGGATGGTGCCACAAGGGCGGATGATCGTGGCGAAATGTTAAAGGAATTCAACGATGAATCACAGGAATACTTTATCTTTTTGCTTTCCACTCGAGCTGGTGGTTTGGGATTGAATCTGCAGACAGCTGATACAGTTATTATATTTGACTCTGATTGGAATCCACATCAAGATCTTCAAGCCCAAGATCGAGCACATCGTATTGGTCAGCAGAATGAAGTGCGTGTGCTGCGTCTCATAACAATTAATTCTGTGGAGGAGAAAATACTGGCAGCAGCGCGCTATAAGCTAAACGTTGATGAGAAAGTCATTCAAGCTGGTATGTTTGACAATAAGTCCACGGGGTCTGAGCGTCGACAGTTTTTGCAGAACCTTCTCGAAGCCGACGAAGAGGCAGATGAGGATGAGAATGAGGCGCCGGATGATGAGACTGTGAACCAGATGCTTGCTCGCTCTGAAAAGGAGTTTGACATCTATCAACGTATGGATGTCGAGCGTCAGGTTGCCGAACGTCAACTGTCAAAACCTGAACCTCGTCTGATGGAGTATACTGAACTTCCTGATTGGATTGTGCGCGATGAGGAAGAAGTGGAAAGGTCTCTCAATATGGATGAAACTGCTCTTACTTCTATGAGACGTCAGCGTAAGGAAGTAGACTACTCAGAAGTTCTGACTGAGAGAGAGTTCCTCAAGGCAATCGACGAAGGAGATGATTTAGAGGAGGCAGAAGAAAAATCTCGCTTGCGCAGGGCGAAACGAAAGAGGAGGCGTAACGAGCCTGATTATAGTGGTATGGATGATGTGAGTTCCGATGCTGGTAGTAGTGTAAAGGCGGCACCAGTTGTTAAACGTCGTCGTGGACGTCCACCACAGTCTAACTCTGGTGCAGGCTCGACCGCCAACACTCGACGATCTATTTCCCCAAAACTGCAGGAACGCATGAAGCGGCTTCTGCAGATAGTCGTTGACTATAAAGATAAAGACCAGCGTGTTCTAAGTGAACCCTTCATGAAGTTACCAACTAAGAAGGAATTGCCAGATTACTATGAAGTGATCAAGCGCCCAGTTGATTTCCACCGTATCAAAGCACGTGTGAAGGATGGTAAATATCGCAGTATGGATGAGCTTGAAGCGGATATCATTCTTCTTTGCAAGAATGCTCAAACATACAACATTGATGGTAGTCTTGTGAGTCTTCCACTTTGGAGTCATTATTTTTAACCTTTTTTGCTGACTAATATAAGTTTGCAGATTTTTGAGGATTCTGTGGTATTACAAACAGTGTGGACAAATGCAAGGCAGCAGTTAGAGACTATGGAAGGGATTACGCCAAGTGAAGGCGGTGCATCAATTTACCCAGAAGATGAAACTTCGAGTTCCCGCAAGATGCCTTCCACTTCGCGTCATAACAATCAGTCAACGGCTGATGAGAGCATGGACTGCGACAACACAATGGACGAAACGACGGGTAACACCACCGCTGGAGATGCTAATGCTGGTGGAGGTAATGAAGCCTCTCTCATGGGAGACACAATTGATGACGATGGTAAGAATCATTCACTTATTTACAATGGTAGTGTGCGCTAAAGTAATCGGGTGGAGACCTTCTAAATCTGGTTATTACTCAGTTCAAGTTTTTAAGCTTCTAATAGGGCCTAAAGGTTGGGTAGTCATGTCTCCAAAAGAAAATTGCATTTGATATTATTTTCTAAGAATTGACATGAAGTGTCGGTGGTCTTTAGTAGAAAGAAGAGTGATTACATAGCTTTTATTTGTTTAAAAGATTTTAATACATAACAGTGACTTCTTTTGAGCCTTTTTTCCATAAATTTAGCTTTCAAGTGCTTTTTTGGTATAAATTTTATTTTTAGATGATAGTCGAGAATCATTCAGCACCAAGTCACGAAAGAGTAGTACTTCACGAAAACCCCCATCTTCGTTGATGCATTCAACCTTAACTACTACCGCAGGAGGTGATGGGGGTCTTCAGCCCCGAAGGAAGGGTTCCCGAAGCGGTCGACCTCCCACTTATGACAATGAATCTGAGGAGGAAGATGATTTGGGGGTGAATGAAGATGACGATGACGATGATTACTGAATAATGAACTGGTTTTCCTTTTATTTCCATTCCTCCCTGGTGTTTTTGCCCTTAAATATTCGTCGCACTTTGTCTATCTCTTTTCTCCTTTCCTCATTTTCTGTGTGTATCTCTGCTTGTTACTAAAACATTGCATATACTGTTATTTTATATCCAGCACGTTTTTTTGTAAAATCGGAATGTAGATTTCCAATGGTGTTGATTATCAATTCTTACGTAATTGATCTCTTTATTAAATCATATACTAAGGTTAATTCATTTGTACCGTTTTGTCCTACATTGGTGATATACTTATTTAAAATCGGTACAGATAACCTACGCTTTTAGAATAAGATAAATATTCGATGAGCCCGTCAGAGTCAGGACCAGTGTTAGTTCTATTGAGTTATTTTGAATAACAAGGCTGTCAATGAAAATTCAGTGTTGGCTTATTTTAATTTCCCATTTTTAACCTAATAGCTGGAATTACATGTCGTGAAATTAAACGATGGTTTTAAGCCCCGCAAACCAAAAGCTTTGCGACCTTGATATTTGGGGGGGGGGAGAGGGAGTAATTACTGCTACTATTTTTTATAAGTAGAAATGCTATTTCTGAAAGTTATATTTGATTCAGGGGTGTGCGATAGACTTACCTCCACGTGGTGCACCCTGGGCAACGTACCTTCGTACGGCAAAAAAGTCTATTAACCGGCATTTGACTTCTGACTTCAAATTACCACGACCCCCCTGGTTGTCATATTCGACCCCTTCCACAGAACTCACCTTACCTTTTTCTCTGCCTTTGTGTCTGTCTGCCTCTTTTACATCGGTGAATCGCTCTTCTGTTCCCCACCCCTCGACTTTCTGCTACTTTGATGTTCCTCCTCCCCTCTGTGAAGCCTGAAGTCAGCTAAATGGCTAATGATATCTATCAAAACGCCTGCCATTTGAAATAAATAAATAAATATTTGATTCATGGGGTGTGCGATAGACTTACCTACACGTGATACACCCTGGGAAACGTATATTCATACGGCAAAAAGTCTATTAACTGGCAGTTGACTTCTCACTTCAAAC